TGAAGCCGACGCCGTTGATCTGCCACTCGCCGTTGGACCTGTGGAACTTGAAGCGCCGGTCGACGCCGTCGCCCTGCCGCGGCGGGAAGGGCACGTCGCGGAGTCTGGCGGGGACGAGGGAGGTGTCTGCGGCGGCGGCGGACTTGCCCACGACGAAGCGCATCACTTGGTCCGTGAAGCCGTACACTCCGTTGCGTTGACAGCGTCCGCCCCCCCTTTTTGCCGAAATTACGCACGCATAATCCCTGTATATACATGAAAATTTGCCCAACGCCACGTAGATATTCGTAGTACGGCAATTGACCTATTCTGATGGCTTCAATTGATCTATTTCTATTGAATCTCATTATCTGAGGGCATCGTGATGCCTCCTAAACGCCGCCGCGCGGCTCGGCAGGCGGATGATGACCCTTCTGGGCATCGTCCGTCACCCATCGCCAACGGTACGCGGAAACAACGACGTATACAACAACTGGCACAGGACGCCGCCAGAGATCCTCCTCAACGCTCTGCCTCGCCGTCGATCAGGATCGTTACGCCCGCCGAGAGGGCTCGCCGGGCTGCCGCCGCCGAAGAGGCCGCCGAGGAGGCCGCCGAGGAGGTTATCGTCGCCGAGGCTGGACCCGAGACTAATGATTTGGTGGCGGCTGAGTCTACATCGCGAAGAAAGCGTGTACTTATAGCCCCTCCGTCATCACGAAGAGCTCCAAAAGCGTCCTCTCGCCAAAAAGCAACGACAACGCAGAGGAAGCGAAAGAAGGATCCGCCGCATACGATCCGGCTCCGAAGTACTCTGCCTTCGTCGATGCCACCGTTTCGACCAGACTCGACCCCAGTTAACCCAACCCCTCGTCAAACCACTCGATTTGCGGACGATACGCCTACGGCCCCTCGCCATAGCGCTGATGATACGTTTATGTCGTTCCACGATGTATTTGAAGAGGAGGACGATATGGGTAACGAGGAACCAACTCTGCTACAAATCCAGGTTACCCGTGGCCCAGCGCTCAAGGGTAACGGTTTACCTGTTCTCGATCTAACCATCGAGAGCATCGCGTATAACAGATTCAGTATTGCTCCTGTATTAGATGCGAATAGTAGAGACTGGGAGGCAGACAGCGGCGCCCAACTTGAGGCAGAAGTGGCTCACTCGTATATTGTGAAGAAGGCCAATATCGCTGTTGTCGTTGCTTGGAGGAAGCCCACCAACGCATCTAAACCAACACCAATCTTCACTCGGGTCTATCCGTCTACTGGAGGGGTCACTTGGCCAAGTATTCCATGGGTTGATATTGTCCCCTCTCTTGAACAAGCTGAAGAGAGGGGTGAAGTCCACCTCACCGTCAAGTGGCAATACAGCGCCGTACCAATCTCTGGTGGTATAGTGACTGGCGTACGAACGCCTCGAAAAGGTGGCCGAGCAGGCGTTTCAGCCGGCATGCAAGAGGCGATCGATCGTGAGGCTAACGATCCTGCAAACGTCGAGCGTCGGAAGGAGGGTATGCACAGACAACTTCTCCGTACGCACATCTGCCCAGAGTACCAGAGATGTAAGAATAGTTCGGGCGACGAGAAGTTCAACTGGTGCTATATACTAGGCCAGAAGCACTACAAGATCAAATCTCACCATATAGAGAAGTGGGCGAAGGCTATTATGACTGGACAGGCTGGCGTTGACAATATGGAACCACCTAAAGAACTGCTTGGTGAGATTCTTCACGACCAGTTTATAGAGGATCAGAAACGCCAGGGCAAGAGAAGTAAGAATATCGTGGAGGTTGATGATAACCAGGAGACGACAGTGATGACGGAAGAGAAGGCTGAAAATGCCGCACTTCCATCATCAGGGTCAAGATCTGGCCTAACCAACGCCAACAGCAACGCCATCGTCAATATATACGGCAACGCGGGGGCGCCAGATCGTCATCTTCAATATCCTAACCCATACGTACAGCTGCCGCCGCCGGCGCCGCCGCCGCCGGCATATTGGCCATATGCGAACATCTCACAGTATTCGTTGCCAACTCTTCCGCCATTGAACCTTCCAAGCACTCGTCAACCAAGTATCGCACTCCCGATTCGTTCGTCCTCGCCAGTGGTACCGGATTCGCCTCGAAAAGCTCTAGATCAAGTGGCCAGCTTCATCAAGTGGTTTATATCCGTCCGCGGCAAGCGATATAACGTCGACGAAGGGTTCAGAAAGAAGCTACAGAAACTGCGATCAGTAGACAGTAGCTTGCGGGCAATTCGCAAGTTACCAGATATTTGGTTTACTGAACAGGGTTTTACTCAAGATCTTACCGAAGATGTCAGGAACTCGATCAAATCCTTCATAGACAACAGCGCCTACTACGGAGGGCAGTCTGACGCCCTCTCCGACGTGGTATCTCACTCTGAACTTCATTCAAACCATCGAGAGTCAGAAGGAGATGTTTATACAAGAATATACGCTGGATTGCCAGGAGGGACGGCGGCGGCGCCAGTTGAAAACTCTGCGGCGCTAGTTTCAGGCGAGTTGGGGTCATCCCGACATATCGACGCCCTAGTGCCACGTCAATCCATCGAGCAAGAGATCCGTGGTACGCCAGTTGAAGTTGGTCGACGTGGTGAGTGTATATAGAGCTGTTTACTGTCGAATATGGCTAACTTTGTAGGCGTTTCGGAACTCTTTGGTTTCGTTTCGTCACCACTGCTGTCAGCGTCGCAGATGCTGCCCACGCAGTTACAGATCGAACAAGACGAAATCGAGCAAGGCGATGAGGACAATCAGATTGAAATCTCGAGTGATACGTCGTCAACAGAGACGTATTACTCGGAGGAGGATAACGAAGAAGAGTGATACAGCAAGAGTGGTGTGAAGTTTGACTGTATGCGCGATTTTTTTGCATGACGTGTTCAACCACGGAAAAGTCTACCCATAGCCGTAGATTCAACACTGCCGCTCTATACGTATAAAAGCAATAGAATTACTGTTATTTTGGATCTGCAAACAATACACTTCGGTCCATCCCGATACTGGTTAGGGGCAGTTGAAGTCTCTGACTATGGTTGAAGTCTCTGATCGTGATGACGTGTCATCATCACAAATCATCGTCACAAGCATCAACAACGCGTTTCAGCCGTTATACAGGCAAAATTGATATGTATACGTAGCTACCGACGAAAACAATGGACGACGGTATATTTTTTGTGTTCTGGTGCGCTTGTGGCTAACCTTTTGGCAATCTTGTTGGCTACAATCATGGATTTGATGATTGACCATCATATGACGACACGATTAAGATCTATTGCGCGCGAACGCACGATGAAAATTTGGATTGCTTGCTGATGTTCAATATTGGCAGCAAATCCTCCCTTTTATAGTTCGATATCGTCAAATATATGCTCTGTCCCATCAAAGTTGACGAACGAATGGCGGAAATGGCCCTCGATCTGGGGTAGACGATACCCAATCTCCATAGCGCAGTCACGTAGATATTCCATGAAATCCCGAGTGTCATTCTCATCGTTGTTCCACTTCGAATACGTCTTCCTGATGTATCGCTTTAGATCGCCGAAGTACTCTTCGATGGGGTTGAAGTCTGGTGAATACGGAGGCAGAAACTCGAGATGGACACCTGATACCCGGCATAAACCCTCGATTTCAGGTATACGATGGCAGGAGAGGTTATCCATAACGATGACAGAGTTTGGCTCTGGAAAACGCCCACATTTCGGGATAAGGCACTCCTGTAGCCAACGAAAGAACCCATCGCCGTCAGTCGTACCATAATACGTAGTCAAGTGTAGGATACCGCTCAACGTGAGGGCTGGCAGGATCTGTACGCGAGAGTTCTGAAACCGATCAATCTCTGCAGTTCGAAACGCAGCAAGCCCTTTCGGCGCCCATCCAGTCCTCCGTATCCCAGTATCCTTATTGACGCCGGATTCGTCGACGAATACCAGCTGGTCGGGGCGATATCGTCGTATACGGTACAAGTACTCGTATCGTAGTTCGTCACTTCGCTGAGCAGCAATAATCTTGGACTTCTTGTTCGTCCAGCCAGCTGAGTTTAACTGTCGACTGATTGCAGAACGACTGATCTGGATCTCGAAGGCTTCAAATAGGAAATCTTGCATCTCTTCAAGAGATAGATCGCTGCGGTACTGCAGTAGTTCAAGAAGCTCTGTACGATGCCATATTTCCATCTTTTGTCGACTCTGGCGGCACCTCTTATATCTCTGCACTTCGCCAGTGATATTACGTCGTGATCTATGTCGTCGAATCGTTCGTTCGGTACAGCCAACGATACTTGCCAGCTCGTGGGTCTTTTGGTCTTCGAATGGCAGTATCATCGCGATCGTCGATAGCTGTAGATTCGATATTCTGGGCGCCATTGTATCGTCGTCGTCGCCCGGCGTCTTTCTCGATGTATCTGATATAATAAACCACGGACATGTACTGACCAGCGGCAAACTGTAAGTAACAGGGCACAATCTATACAGCAGTAGACTCTTGCTCAATATCGTGAACAAGCTGAGCTATCAGGAGAGTCATTAATCCTGTTGACTGCCAAAGCATTTGCTCTGAAGAACCGTATCAAGCCCCTTGGTATGCTTATATATTACTCAGAGCCATACAAACCGTATGCTGAGTAGATATATAAAGTCATACAGCAGGTCTCTTCTTCTGTTCCTCAGCAAATGTCATCTTGATCTCTCATGACGAAAATAGACCTTTTGTTGGTCGAATGGTATGGGGATGAGGTGACTAGCTGGGTTGGCAATGCCTCGATGGGTAGATTGACTGCTACGGAAGCATGAAATACACACCTTATGTCTCTATCGTGTAGTTATACGTTTGAATACTACTGGGACTATAGTGATTGACGGCAATTGAGGTGTTGGTGATGACTTTGACGCGTTTTGCGTGCGATGCAGAGAAATGCGCGTCACAGCGTAAAATTGGCTTTTTTTCATGTTTTTGCATAAGCGGGGAAAAAAAAGGGGGGCGGACGCTGTCAACGCAACGGAGTGTAGTCTGTGTCCTTGCCGACGTCTTTCTGGTTTAGAAGTGAGATGTTCTGCCCCGCGTATCCGGAAAAGTCGACCACGACCTCCCATCGCTCCGCCATAGACATGGTGAGTGTGCTCGTGGTGATCGGGCCAGTGAGCAGTCCGGCGTCAGATGCAATGACTTGAAACGGGATGTTGGCACCGCCGGTCTGGCGCCTGAAGTAGAGGATGAAGGAGCGCGAGACGGCGGCGTTGAGGAAGCGCAGACGGTACTTGCGCGGCTCGACCTTGAAGAAGGGCCACGGCTGGCCGTTGACGTGGATTACGTCGCCCCAGAGACTGTCGGTCTCGCCGGCTGGCGAGAAGAGGGAGCCGTCGGCGTTGTACTGCTTCGAGGACAGGACGAGGGGGATGTCGTTGACGCCGTAGCCTGTCGGAAGGCCGAGCGCATCCTCGGCGGGGTCTTGGACGATGTACGCGCCGGCCTGGCCAAAGTAGGCGTTGACTGCGGTCTGTGGTGATGAGTTAGCTTGGCTCAAAGGTGGTGTGGGGGAGTCTTACAATGTCCATGGCGTGGTCGTGATACCACAGAAAGCGCGCACTCTGGCTGTTGGGGTAATAGTAGTCCTTGTATTGTCCCGGCTGGATCTTGTCCTCAGCCCATCCGTCCCAAGGGGCCCTCTTCAGTAGTGTTAGTCTCAATGTTGGAGCTCAGTTAGGAATTGAGTCTTAGTACTTACCGAAGGGGATCCATGCAAATGGACGGCGCTTGGCAGTGTGGCTTTGTTGGTGAATCTCACGACCGTCTCGCGACCTCTGGGGACAAGGAACGTGGGGCCGGGTGAAAGTCCATCATAGCCAACGAGCGAAGCCGGTCCCTTGTTCGGGTAGACCTGCTGCTTGAAGGGCACGATGTCGACCTCGTAGTAGTCAATCTGCTTGTTGGTGACCGGGTTGGTGATTGACCTATGAGATGTCAGAATTCGTCCACAGCACTAGCCACTTCATCGAGAGACTTACATTTTGGGCTGCTTCACCGGCGGGATGGGCAACGGAAACTGGTAGAAGAACCTGTACTCGGGGCTCAACCAGTCCTTCGCTGACGACCCTTCGAAAAGGGCCATCGCGGCCGCGAGGTGAGAAGCCCGGAAGAGCATTTTGGACGGGGTTGGTAAAGATCGAAGAGACGAGAGAAGCAGGACCTTGTTTGTCACGAAACAAGACTTCACTGGAGAACAACCAGAACATGTAATACGAGAGATGGCAATTGCGGATCTATATACGTCTGACGAGAGCCCCCTTCCCCCGCGCGGAGCCTCATCCAGATCCTCAGCAAGTTCGTATAACACCAATAATCACCCGAGTGGCGCTGCGTGTCTGTCTAGACTATTGCTGTTGTGCTCCCGGCCTTAGCAGTCCGAACGTGCATGCAAACGAAGAACATTCTGCGTGGTGGCTCAGACTGCAGCTTTTCGACAAGATGAGAGAATCTGGGCTTTTGTCGCTGGCTTTCGTTGGCGGTCGTCAGTGATCGGATGATCCCTTGGCAGTCAGCGCATCCTAAACCCAGCCGTTCCTGCAGAAACTGTGCATCCCCGCGAGGTTTAGGGGCAGTCTTGACCTCTCTGCGAGTCAAGCAATTGCCAAGTTTGGCACGCATCGATGCACGGCGAACAAGCAACCCGATGAGTCGGTTCAGCTGGCGTTGCGCAGAAGCCGTGCATGCAGCTTTATGCTGGGCAGTGAATCATGATAATCGGCGCTAGAAGCAGATCACTCGGAAGACTTCTGAGAATGTGAAGCCACTATCACCCTTAGCATTTTGTCAGGCGGCATGGGATGGACAGGAGAATTGTTCAGTGCGCAGTCGCGCAAGGACTCTACGTCGATGCGGAGGAAGAATCTAGGTGCGGCTCGAGGGCTTCTTCGCTGGCCATCTTTTCGAAGCACCATCCAACCGGCTGCTGCCGCGGCAACATTGGCTGCCAAGACACGCCGCCGGGGGCACGTTTATTCCTGCGTGAAGTGGCTTGGTTAATCTAGCTATGAGCGCTGGGCGCGGCTGGCTATAAAGTGGTGTGGCTAATCCCTTACGTAAAGGTGGGATTTAGGCTAGGATTTAGGCCTTAGGCCTAAGCTTAGCTAACTACTATTTTATACCTCCTTTTTAGCTAATACCTCTAGTACTTTAAGTAAAGCTATTTCTATCCTAAAGTAGTAATCTAATTAATTATATAGTAGTTTTATATTATTCCTACTTCTATATATTATTCTTACTTTTCTATATTACTATTATTATTCTATTTTAACTCTAAAATACTTTTTAACCCTTTTTAGTTTTTATATAGCTAATTAATATTATAACTACTATTTAAGTTATCTCTATAAGGATAATTAGATAGCTACTTAGTATAATTAGTATTACTTTCTACTTTTAACTTAAATTAAGTTTCTAAGCTAATAACTTAGAGATTTACTATTTAAAACCCCTTTATAGAGTTAACTTTTAACTTAAATAAGTTTAAAAACTATTCTCTTTAGTTTAATCTTAAATCTTATATTTTAAGTAGTTCTCTCTCTCTAAAAGTAGTAATCCTTAAATTATTAATTAGCTTTATAATACCTCTCCTCTAATCTACTAATTATATTAAGTTAAGTATTAAATATAATAATTCTTAATTAATATTACTTTAAAGATTAATCTTCTTATAATACTTTTAAAGCTTAGTTAATTAATCTTTTGCTTTTTTAAACTTTAAACTTATATTAGTTTTATTTAAGTTTAAAGTTAATTAATTTTTACTAATTAAACTTAATATAGTTATAACTTAGAGAAATATTAACTAAGATATCTAACTTAGTAATAAACTTATAACTTAGTAAAGTTATAATTTTTAATTACCTTCTAAGCCTTTATTATTAAATAACTTCTTATATAAAAGACTTTTATAGTTAGTAATTTAACTATTAAATAAAGCAAATTAAGGCGATTAAAATAATATAAAGTCTAACTATAAAAGTTAATTAGTTAGTAAAATATAAGGGAATAAAGTTATTATATATAAAAGAAATAAATAAATAGAAGGGACTTAATTAAGATTAAGTCTTAAGATATTATCCTTAGATTAAGACTTATTATTAATTATAAGTAGTTTAGATAAACTTAGTATTCTAATAAAATTATAATATTTCTCTACTACTAATAGTTTAATAAAGCTATTAGTAACTATCTTATAAATTAAGATATAATTAATCTTAAAATTCCTATTACTAATATTATTAATAATTTAGTAATACTTAATCTTAATATAGTATAATTTAGATAACTATTTACTTAATAGATAATTATTAAGGGTATTTATAGAATCTATATATACTTAGAGGAGTAATTAAATAGAGATATTTATCTCTTTAAAGAGATCTATAATATATAGTAAAGCTTTCTCTCTAAGTATTAGATTTATTTATTTAGCTTTATAAGTTAATATAGCTATAAATAATTATAGTACTAATTTCTAAATAATTAGTGCTCCTCTATATATAACTATATAACTAGCTATTAATTTACTTATTCTTTTATAATTAGACTAGCTAGTATTATAGAATACTAATAATTTAAGGTTATTAATAAAGTATCTTAGACTACTAAAGTAGAGTACTAATTATTATAAGCTATAGAGATATCTCTATATTAATCTTAGTAGTTTATTATGCTTTTTAGAAGTATATTATTAATCTCTAGTAGCCCTACCTATAAGCGTTATAATATCTAGTTATATATTATTTATAATCTATTATAACTTATTTAGATTACTTTAATATTTATATATCTTTATAGGTATTTTATATTATTCTATAATCTCTAGTAACTAAGTATTACTAAAGTAGTAAAATATTTAGTTATATCTAGTAATACTCTTCTCTATTAATATATTATTAATATATTTAGCTTATAAGATCTAAAGTTATCTTATTTTATAATAGTAAATAATCTTAAACCTAAGGAATTATTATACCTTACCTAAATCCTTAATTTAGAAGAAGTTATATAAATTATCTTTAAAGTTATTAACTTATTTAATATTAAATATTATAATAAATATATTATTAATATAAAGTAATATTATAATATTATCCTTATTAATAAGAATATAAGGTTCTTTTAGTAGTAGATAGAACCTTAATTATTTAAAGATAGTAATAATTTATTTATATTAGAGAAAAAGAGATTCTCTTAATCTATAGAGAGCTTTTTTTAATCTATAGAACTAATTAGATCTATTATTAAACCTATAAAGTTAAGTAATAAAGATATCTTAATCTCCTATAAAGGTATTTAAGAAAGCTATAACTATATTAACTTAATAAAGTTTTAGATCTTTAAGTACTATAATTAGTAAAAAGACTTATAGAGTAATAAGATTAGTAATAATAATATAAACTATCTTATTATCCTTATTTTAAAAGTTATTATAGATAACCTATCTTACTCTAACTTTATTAAGTTTTCTATTTATAATAACCTTCTTATTATATACCTATTTATTTAGGAGATATTTAAAGCTATCTAGGAGCTCTTTAAGCTATTAGTAATTTATCCCCTATAAGCTATTAACTTAAGTCTTTATAATATTAAAAATAGCTAACTTTAGAGGTCTCTCTTTTATTACTTCCTATTTCTTAAAAGTTATAAGTAAGTAAATCTCTAAGCTAAAGGCTTATAATAAGTTAGATACTAAGAAAGTAAAAATAACTAGTTCTTAGTTTATTTTATTATTAATTAGGTTAATCTTTATAACTCCTATTTTACTAAATTCCCTATTAAACTTCTTTATATTATATAGCACTTAGGTTCTAAGTATTTAGGTTATTTAACTAAAAGAAAAAGTAATTATTCTTAGTAATCTTATAAAAGTAGAACCTCTATTACTACTTCTTAGTTTTCTTCTTAGTTTTTTTTATATTAGGAGAGGAGTTTAGAGTGAAATATTAAAAGAGCTTTACTATTATAAAGTATTAGCTAGTAATTATTATCTCTAAGGAGTAGCTAGAGATCTCTACTTTAAAAGAGTAATAAAAGAATATTACTTTAGAGGAGTAATAAGAGAATATTACTATAAAGAAGAAACTTCTTTTAGTATTAATTATACCTATATATTTATAATACTAGTATTTAGTATTAGTAAGTATAGTTTTAAATCTAAAGTTAATAAACTACCCCCCTTATTACTAACTTCTTTTTATTCTTAAGGAGGCTTATCTTCTTATTCTTATTTATTATTACTCTCTAAATCTTAAGCTTCTTTTAGGTATAAATTACTTAGTTCCTCTTATTATTAATCTTATTTAGTAGAATAATAATAATAATAAAACCTAATATTTATAGTATAAAACTGAAATTTAGCTTTATATATTATTATTAGTAATTTATTACTATACTTATAGGTCTTTAGTTTAACCTCTTCTCTTAGCTATAAGTTATTAAATTTAACTAAAAGAAGCTCTCTTTTATCTTTTTTAAATATTATATCTCTTACCTACTAAATACTATTAGTCTTTTTAATAAGAATATAGAAAATATTACTATAAAAGCTATTATATCTTATAAATCTTCTAAGTTTAGCTTTAAACTTTATCTTCTACTTCTTTATATATAAATAGTTATCTAAGTGAATATAGATATAAGTTTAGTAGCTTTAATAATAAAGGTAGTATATATATAGTTTTCTTATAGTAAGAGATATATTAAAGGTATTTATTAATTTCTTATAAGGATTAATATTACTCTTACTATTAAATAATAGATTTCTAACTTCTATAGAAGTCTTTATTAATTAAAACTAAAAAGACTTAAGAAAGCTAGTTTCTATATATATTACTTATACTTTTTACTATAGCTTTATTAAAGCTTTCTACTTCTTTATTTTATTAATAAGAGTAAAAAGCTACTATTTCTAGATAGAAACCTTATTCTTAAATAAAAGGTTCTATTACCTTAAGAAGAACTATATTATTATTTATAATAACTTTAGAAAAATAAATAATATTATTTATTATTATAATCTTCTTTAGGAATTAGCTTTATAGCTAAATAGCTACTTCTTTTTTTAATTTAAATACTTAGAACTATCTATAAGTTAAAAAGGGTTTTATAATA